TTTATTGGTCATTGTAATAATAGTTTAACATCCTAATACATATCACACCAAAATTTTATGTAATTATGTTAAAATTGATAGAAAAATATTAATTTGTAGTAAAGTTCTTAGCACTCTGGTTACACTCCTGATGTGGTCCCGCCAGCTGGGGTACTCGGCTTAGCTCAGGGAGTTGATGTGGGATTGTATAAGAGGTATATAGGCAGCCCTACCCATATAAAAAGGCCTTCGAATAGTCTACAATGTTCTAGAACATTCCACCACATTCCAGTGTGTTCTCTGGAACATCCTACCATGATCTGGAATGTTCTAGACTATTTCCGAACATTCCACAACATTCCAAAGCGTTCCGGAATGTTCCCGAAGGTTGGAACCCACGATGGATCTTGCTTTACATACCCCTACCAATTGTTAGCTCTACCCATAAAAGAAAGGCGTCGAATGGTCCACAATCTTCCAGAATATTCCATAATGTTGTGGAATGTTCTGGACTGTTCTAGAAATTTTCAGAGGGTGAAACTTCTAACCCTTATATCTTTAAAAGTATGTCCTTCAGATAAAAACGACAACCTTCCTCATGAATGGGAAATAGAGGGTTACCACACCATACAACTCCCTTGATCGTACCGGGACCCATTTCTAAGGTTTAGGAGCAAGTACATTGTACACTTCCTTTTATAAAACATACTGATTATTACTTGGCGAATTTTGTGGACTCTTTCGTTTAATTTGATAATATTTTTGAAGTATTTTTGTTTTTATAAACACTTTATACTTATTGAATAAAAAAAAAAACTGAAGCATTTCATCAATGTGCTGTGTTTTCTGGATGTAACAAAATCCGTACCATAAGGAGGTACACGTTATGCTTAGGCTTCGACGTTTGTAGCAAATTATAACAATATAATCGTCAACATTAGAGTTATTATAATGTATCGCTATAAATATTAAGTCTTAAGAAGCAAAAGATGAAAACAGAATGAGTTCATAACACGCTTATTATTCGTAAATTCAACTTGCTAATCAAGGGAAAGTTACTTATATGATTTTGTTAGTTTACGTGTTAGATGTCTTATACATTTACACATATATAGTATTATTACTTGTGAGATGAAAAAAATCAATTAGATGTAATAACAATAGATTAAATGCATATATTATAAATAGATTTTAAAGAATGTTACATTTGTAAGTTTCTAGAGACATTTTATTATTTAGATACGATTAATAAAGATATTTTAATAGTTCAAAATACATTAGATAACTTGTACTTTCTTCCCTTTCGTAGAGAACTATAAAAATGTTGACACATCTTAAAGGTGGGTACGTTATTTTTTTTTTTTTTTAATAATTGAGTTTGAGCATTGAAAACTTCATATGCAGGCTACTTGAAGACATAGATTTTCTTATAAATATTTCGATTGATTGAAATGATTCATTAAAAACCATCGCTACACCCGAACTCGGCGTTACATCCGAAGTCGCAATAGCCACATGAATTTTATACTAAAGTAGACTTTAAATTCAAGGGATTTAGATTTAATGTCGCTATAGCGAAATGGCCGTTATAACCAATATCGTAATAAATGAAATCCACAGTATGACAAAACCCCTACCTACAATGAATATTGGTAATTAAGATTGTATTGGAATAGGTCGTTTGTCCTAATTTGTATTATTTATTGATTACTGTACTAAAATATTTGTTATTTCGATATAATTCTTGTGTTTACTTTTTCTCATGAACAAGAATACATCAGTATATGGCCGAACTGTTACAATTTCTGTCTCTTGTTGGTACATCAAGTTTTGATTAACGATAAATTATTATTAGTATGATTTTGTCACCTTGCAGACTTCGTGTTTATAAACATTATAGGCTCATTTCAACGGTTTCAACTCAATCTTTTCGTTGAAAATCCGTCAACCAAGAATTAAAATTTCATTGGTTTAGTGTTTAAACAACTTTTCGAATGTGACTTAATGTGGTTTTGGACGTTAGTGGGGGTGGTATTTAATGTAAAGCTCGCCAGAAGGAAGACATGAACCACTAATTGTAGTGGTTTTGAATACGCGGCAAAATCACTATCGAGTGCATCTCCAGTAGGCTTGCCACCCGTACTTTATTATAAAGTATTGTAGTATTGTACTCTATTTCGACTGTGCGTACGTTATACTTTACAAGACACATAAAGTACGCAAAAATACTTTATTTAAGGCCTTAAGTAAACATCGTAATTTTGTAAGCGATTATTCGAAATTCAGAGTATTTTTACATCAATAATATTGCACAGAAAAATGGCAAGCCATATTTACGGAAAAACCTGATTTCCCAAATCTGTCAAAGTAATGTCACTTTTGCTGTCCGTTCCGGCCACTTCAGCATTTACCGAAAGAGTATTCTCTGTTATGAACACAAAGTGACCGGACGACAGGAATAAAGCATCATTAAAACTAATTAAAAATGGACTTTTAGTTTACTTAAATCTTTGTTTGCTATGTTTAGAGGCTATTAATATATTTAAGAGCGACAGCAATTTGTTACTGGCTGCTAGGTGTAACAAAAAATATGTTTTTAAAAACAAAAAATAAAATACTTTATNACATTTGTAATAATTGTATTCGATCTCTAATTTACATTCGGCTCGAAGGACCACGATTAAGGCCTATGAACGATTTAGAGTTTAAAGTTTTAATAAATTAATAATAATGCTGTAATTCATCGACAATTTGGTGATTTCGTGCAATTGGCAGTTTCCTGTTTATTACCTAATTTAGTGAACAGGCGCATTCTTTTTGGAATAAAGCGATTTAGTTTATTAATCGTTGGAATTTTTCGTTGAAGTTTTCGTTTTGTGGAGAGGATGTTCTCTCGAGCATTCGGTAAATGGAAAATACGCGAACGTTTTATTATCTAGTAGTCGAGGTTAATGCCCTTTTGTCTACATTTTTCTTCGGGTTTAATATCTGCCGTCAGGTTCGTTCGATTGTTTACGGACTCAAGGAAGTACACAGTTGATCTTGTATTGGCTAAGACGTAAGTGTAATAAGGACGTGTGTTTGACAGGTCTACCGACCATAAGGGCTCTACGTGCTAATCAGCGATTTAAAAGAGACAACGAGGAAAAGGTTGAGGCCAACATGAAAGCACAATTTGCAAGTCAAGCAGCGTCTCAGTGGCTTGGTTTGAGGCTCCAATTCATTGGGGTTGCAATGGTTACAGGGGTTGGTTTTATTGCTGTTGTACAACATCAGTTTGACTTTGCCGATCCTGGTATGAATATTTACTAAATACGAGGGTGCGTTTTTAAGTTTGCGGAATAGGTAGGTAGGTCATTAGTGGTGGTACTTACTGAAGTCATTACGAATCAAGGACTTCATTATTGGTCTATCTTTGAAGTATCGTCGACAAAACAAGTCAATCGAGAGAAAATCGAGTACCGCGTATAAAGTTCCTTGCCAAGCAAGGAAAATCAGTTCAAACCATACAGGACGAGATGTCATCTGTTTAGGAAGACTCTTGCCCAGGTAAAACTATGGTTTACAAGTGGTATACTCTCTGTCACTGTTGCCAACCTACTACCATATCAACCAACAGCATTATACAATTATAGCTGACAAAATTTTACGTTTACAATTAGAAAAATGAGCGCCTTCATAATATAATATCAGGTCAACAAAATCAAACAAAACCAACGAGAAAATGGCAAATTAGAAAAAAATCCCGCGAAAATAAGGAAAAATCCCTTCATCCCTCGAGAACGTCAAAAATCCCTCGAATCGGGATAAATCTCTCGAAGTGGCAACACTGCTCTCTGTAAACACTTGAAGATGACTCACGGCCAGGCCGGCCGATCGAGGTGACCACTCCGGAAATCATTCAAAAAGTCGAAAAATTAATACTGGAAGATGCACGACATAAAAAGCTTAAAAAGCTCCCAGAAATGGTAGGAGTTCAGATACAACCATTTTTAAAATTCTTCACTAGCATCTTGACGTAACTAAAGTCAGCGTGGGATGGGTGCCGAGAATGCTCACTCCATCTCAAAAACCACAGCGTGTGGAGTGTTCTCGTGCGTTTTTGGACCTCTGTAGTGAAGATAAAGATGGAGTATTGACTCGAAATGTCACTGGGGACGAAACTTGGGTTCATCATTATGAAGCTGAGCCTAAACAGGAGTCTATGCAGTGGCACAAAAAAGGCACACCACCACCCAAGAAGTTTAAGGTGTCACAGTTGGCTGGGAAAATCATGGCGACAGTCTCTTGGGATTCAGAAGGGATCCTGTTAATCGATTATAAAGATAAAGGTTTCTCCATAACCGGAGAATGTTATGCTTCAATTCTAGAGCAGTTAAAGGAAGCAGTCAAAGTTAAAAGAAGAAGAAAATGAACCAAAGGTGTCCTCCTTCTGCACGACAACGCGCCTATTCAGAAGTCCGTGTTGCAATGGCTGTCGTGCAGAAGGTGGGCTTCGAAATTTTAGCTCACCCACCCTACAGTCCTCATCTAGCTTCCAGCGATAATTAGCTATTCCCAAACTTGAAAAGAAGTCTTCGTGGGAAGAAATTTTCAAGCGACGAAAAAGTGAAAGATACAGTTTCGGCGTATTCTTCAGACAAAGACAAAACATTTTTTTTCAAAGGTGTACGTAAGTTAATTGAACGATTGGAAAAATGTGTAAGGGTAGCAGATGAATATATTTAAAAAAAAAATAAATTCGTACTTTTATTTCCACTTGTTACCCCCCATTCCGCGAACTTAAAAACGCCCCCTTGTTGCAATTCAGTATTATTATAAAACCGCAATGATCTTTTGCATGGGAGTTTACCAATAAAGATTATATTTCCATTTTACTGAAACATATGACTCATTTGTGGGATTGTCTTACAATTATTTAATTTTTGAGTTACTCTACCTCCCTCTTGTGTATGAGTCACCCTGTACCAAGTATTTTTTTTAAAAAGTCTAGTAGGTACGTAACACCCTGTTAGTTCAATTGAATTAAAAAAGTAATTATTCACCCAAATCAACTGGTCCAGATAAGGCTACAGCTTCAATTTCGACTGCTGCAGACATTGGTAATTTACCTTGATGGATAGTTCTTGCAGGGTATGGCAATTCGTAAAAATCTAAAAAAATAATATTCCTGGTCTACTTGTGTAAATTTGGAAATTGTAGGATTATACAATCACTGTAAACAATGTTAATTTTACATTAAAATAAACTTCCGTACAGTAAAAGTGGATTTAATCAGTTGTATATTGAAAAAAAATTGTATACAAAATAAAGAAAGATAACTATCTAGGATAACCCATCGTTAATAGGTAAATCCAAATAGGAATTTTAACAATTCACCCTACCCCAGCTCTTTTATTTTTTATTCCCAGCATGGGCAATATCACAACCAAACCAGCGAATAAAATAGTTTTAAGGTTAATCAAAAATTAAAGACTAATGGGATTATCATTTTAAACCAATAGCAATACTACGAATCGATTCACTAATAAGGTTTCTTCATTAATAGTGCTCATTGTTTAGTCTTTTACTTCATGTATTATATCATTAGTAACAACATCTAGCAAGGAGGAGTTAGAGGTAATCTTACATAAAATAATAAAATGAAAGCGGTATTTACAAAATAGTACCGTCAAGTAAAGTAAAATAGATATAGTGGTATGTAAGAGAAGAAAAAGTAGGGAATAAGCGAAAATAAAGATGGGAGACGAAAAATTAGAAAAAAATGCAGATTTTCAGTATCTAGAAAGTGAGATAACTCAGGATGGAAGAAGCAGTAGAAAGAAATCTAAAGGGTTGAGTCGCCTTTAACAAAAAGAATTAACTTCTCTGCTCGCGTTATATGTTATGTGTCTTATATTTTTAAAGGACCTTTTGAGAAACACTGATCTAAACCACCCCAATTGTGTTACGTATGGTATGTATTGTCATACTCACATTCCTTATATATATTATTAATAATACACAGGTCCTTCATGTTCCGCAATATAATGTTTACTTTGACCACTTTGTCAAAATCGGATCCGGCTTCTTTTAAAACCGTTCTCATGTTTCTTAAAGCCTGTCGAAATTCTTCCCCTGTTCCACCACAGACAAATTCCCCCGTTCTACGGTCAATACCAAAAGTTCCAGAGACATACACCACGTTATCGGCCAAGACTGCGTGACTTTAAAAAAGCATAAAGATTTTCAACAGTTGATAACAGCCTATTCTTCTACTTCTATTTGAATTTAATTTGATTTTTTTTAAATACATATCTTGTTCTTACAAGGTAAGAACAAGAATGTTGACTAGGCATTTTCTAGCTATACAAATGTGGCCACGTTCGCTTATAACAACTTTAGGGTCAGTGACAGATGTTAGACATTCGGGGTCACCTCTTTAAAAAAAAAAAACAAATCAAAGACAAACTATATACAGCGAAATTTGACTATTCCAAATTTCAAAATTAGTTAATAGGGGACTGAAATTATGAATCATTTCCTTCGGTTACGCCAAAACCCAATGTCGTGAAAACACGTTTCAGTTTAGATTTTACCCACGGCTTCGCTCGGAAACAGTATCTTTTTTCTGGATAAAAGGTACCCTATAACCTTTTCTGTACTCCTAACAATGTGTGTACAAAATTTCATGATGATCGATTGAGTAGTTAGGGCGTGAAATCGTAACAAACAAACCCACATCCGTATTTATACTATTAGTTGGGATTAACTGAACGATTTTTCTTTTTCTTTAACTAGTTTTGACTCGCAAATTCGTTTGCATGAAACTAATTTTTTATAATAATAAATACACTTGTTATAACCAATAAACAATTGAAAATAGCCTACATCACCCCTAGCAGGGGCTGGTATCGTAATCGGTTCAGATATTTTGAAGATTAGCCCGTACAGATAAAAAACACTTTAAGGATTGTTTGTATCTTAATAGCATTTAAATAATCGTACGAACATAAAAAGACAGTTATGTTGATATTACAAACAGATGCCCTAACTCTATTTATGTATATGTCTAGACAATTAAAAGTGGTCATACATTATTCTTTGCCCCTTATTGCGAACTGTCACTGTTATATATCTAAATAGATTTGCTGGATTATTAGTTGATGCTAAAAAGAGCACTATTTTACTTTTTATTTTAATTTATTTAATTTCAATGTAGTTGTATAAGTACTTGTAATAATTATAATTGGTAATTTATTACCTATATGGACCAGTAGGAGGAGCTACACAACAAGAGATTATATTTCTTTTAGTGACAGCCATTACACACGTTTGTAACTACTAAAGACATGACTGTAGCAAAACTAAAATTTGAATAGTGGCTATTATTTTATTCATCATGAAATGATAAATGACATATAAGATGATATAAGCCCACTACGCCAGTCTGTGCATATATTTATTTTACCTATATAATCACTCGTGCATAAATAATGCCTGCAGATAATAATGTAATTTTTCAGTAACTTTACAGTCTCATCTCTGCTGTCCTACAAACAACATTTCAACTAGTTCCTAGAAAGCTACAACGTAATGTAGAGTAAACCGTCTAATATCGTAATAAATTCAATATGTAGTTTACCGCAATATGGTGTCATCGCAATATGTCCGCATCGCAATATGGCTGTTTCTATTTTTTTTACAATCCCCTTATATGGGTATCAAATAAAAGGGTTTATCGAATAATCAATATAAATTCAGTATGATGGATGGTTTTGTGCTACTCAATTTGAAATTATCCAATGAATGATAAGTTCAGGTACGTATTGTAAATTTTTAAAGACCTGATACTTTAATAAAATAGCACATTTTAAAAACAAAATTTACTTTCTCTAGCGATGTGCCCCTTCCAATGTTCTGGATGCGCGCTGACAAAATCGTAGGTAGGGAGAAAAAAGCTCATTATACTCTCGACTCTTGTTCATTAAACATACTTTTTCATACAGTACCTGCCAAAAGTTTTGTTCGATCATGAATAGTAGTGCGAGTCGAAAACAAGCGTTAAAGCCTTTAATATGTCTTCAAATATAAATAAACATCTCGTTGATATTTTCAGTAGTAAATGGTACCAATAACAGCACATTTGAGCAATGCAATTGTAGTGGATAAAATGGTCAATTTTTCCGTGCAGTACTGTACGGATTATACGCTCCTCACCGGTTAAGAGTTTGGCCGAGAGTTGTCTCCTTCCTTTTCTGGCCTAGTGCTGTTCTTTTCTACTTTGCGCCGGTCAAACTAAAGGTCACATTGCTAGAGAAACTAAACGAAGTATAAATAACAATTTACTTACTAAATAGAGTAAAATAGTTATTTATTTTTGATAGTACAAAAATAGCTAAATACAATTTATTTATGTATATAAGTTATCAATACTTAACTTTGGAATATAATTTTAATTTAAATAAAATTTACGTCGATTTAAGCTGTCAGCATTTTTTGTGTAATTGAGTTAAAGTAAAAGTTTTTTTTCAATTTCCTAAAATACATCTACCCAACTCTTAACTTACTTTTTTAGGATAATTATTCAATTTGGTCCTTCATTTACAATTAGTTTGATAGTAGTAGTATTTTATACACTATCTTTTTGTTATCTCTTAAAATTAAATGTCGTATTTTGAATATCGTTCAAAAAACTGTTTATGAAACGATTGAAACAACTTGAGCATTTCCTGAAGAACTTCGACAGGTGGTAAGATGGTTGTTCTAAAATGGTAGGTCCCCTCTTCTTGTCCAAATCCAGACCCAGGAACAGTGACAATTCCTGTCTTTTCCAATAGTTTTTTGCAGTAGTATACGTCGGGTAGTATTTTCTTTTTTTCTGCCTTTTTGAGGGCACCAGGAGGTAAAGTGATTTTAGGAAATGCGTATAAAGCACCCTGAAGAGGGTTGCATTTGAATCCGTCGTAACTGTTGAACGCATCTACGACCATTTTAGCTTTTATCTGTAAAATTACCGTTCAGTATTCTTGAAAAATGAAAAAAAAATATTGGTAGATACCTACTAAGTAATTATCAAAATTATTGCAAAAAGATATTTAAAAAAAATTAAATTGTTATTACTTTAAGGTCACCCAAAACTTTTGTTTTTTCTTGTATAAATAAATCATAACTAGGTTCTCCTTTTTGTGGGGGATTTACAATGGCGTCGATTGCCACCTGTCCCAGAGTGGGGGAGCACAGAGACGTATTAAGAAGCTTTTTGTATATTTCTTTTACTTCGGTGTCCATATTGAATACCTCTATATAAGCCCCTCGTAATCCACATTCTCCAGTGTACCCTTTCGAGGCAGACATAAAACTTGCACATTCCATCTTGTTATAGGGCTCTCCCAACTCTATCATCACCTAGAAAGAAGAGATAACTCATTTTTTTTAGGTCACAACTCAATAACTAAACTTTCGATATAATGACGACGTAAGTCCGCCATACTCTGTTATTATCTTATTGCACGGAAAAAACTAAATTTTTATGACAACGCAAAAATTACAATTTTCGATTGAAATTTGCCGTAGAAATTGTAGAATTTATTAGGTAATTTGTAATTCCTTTAAAAATTATTTCATGTTTCTTAATTGTTATTACAATTTACATAATTTGTAATCACTACATAGTATAAAACAAAGTCGCTTTCCCGCTGTCTGTCCCTATGTATGCTTAAATCTTTAAAACTACGCAACGGATTGTGATGCGGTTTTTTTAAAAGATAGAGTGATTCAAGAGGAAGGTTTATATGTATAATACATGCATAATATAGTAGGGAAACACTGATAACTTTAGAGGTTTCTAATCTGATGTAAATAAACACATTTTTTGCGCTTACATTGCAAACGCTGGCTGAACCCTACGAGATAGATCAAAATAATGTACTACAATATCGTACATCTTAAAAGGGTCTACAAAAAAGTCCGGGATGGTATATGTCTTTCTCTTAGGGATAACCCACAATAACCATTTTTATCCTTTACTTTTTATGAGAAATAATGACTTATTTTCGAAGCGATTGTAGGCAATACAGCATTAATTCTTATCCAATTAAGTACCTTAAATACAATGTGCATTTTATATAGATTAATATGGCCCTTTACAGCATGTAATTTAAATGAATATTTTCGAAGATATTACAGATTTAAAATACAGGGACATAGCGGTTGCGGCGGTACCAGCCAGGAGGCTGGTTTGTATTATCTAATGAGAAAAAAACTGTGAATGTTGTATATAAAGACATTCTGTAGTATATTTAGTATGTTCAGGGGGTATCTTTTGAAGATTTTCCCTCCTCGATAATAATCTAAACAAAACAAAAATATATTTAGTATCAGCATTGCACCCGTGCGAAGCTGGGGCGGGGGTCGCTAGTATCAACTAAAATACCTAGTAAATTTATTTCTGCTGGGATTTTATTTTTACAAACTCGAGTCCAAATTGTAATTTTTATTATTTTCGCTTACGAAGCAACGGAATAGTGGGATAAATTGTAAATAACGCTTTAATATTTAGATAAATTTTCGTTCAATATTTGTCAACTTTGACCCCCCCCCTGGTGAAAAAAACGACCCAAAGAATCGAAAAACGCCCCATTTAAATATCACCACGTGCACCCCCTCTATTCACTACTGCAAGCATTACAGATGGGCAGTCTCGAAGGACAAATTTTCATTGGAGTGATCAGTCAAAAATCATTCAGTTGTGATCTACCTTGAAGAATTACCTTTTTGAATGAAAAGAATTTGGAGTCATACACGTTATCCTGATACAGTTCATCAGCAAAAATGAATAGACGTTCTTTGTATGCGAATCTTATTAAATCTTCAATGTTTTCTCTTGTAAGAAGTTGTCCAGTAGGATTTCCCGGATTGATAACAACAATGGCTCTAGGGAAACAGTAACTTCTTGCAATTTTTATTTGATCCTGAAAATAAATTGTTAGCGGTACAGCTGATATTTAAGACCACAACTTTCGATTGTACGTGCGAGGTCTGTTCAAAAAGTATCGCGAATTTGTGTTTTTTCAAACATTATTTATTTATTTATGAATATCTATTTTGTTCCCTTCAAAGTAATCCCCACTTGATATTATACACTTGTGCCAACGTCTTTTCTAATCTTCGAAGTATCTCAAAAATAATTTTTTGTGATGTTGTTCAGCTCCTGCTTCGATGTCGTTTTTATCTCCTCAGTCGTAACGTAGCGTCGTTCTTCCATGGGCCTCTTCGGTTTCGAGAAAAAGTAAAAGTCTCAGGGGGCCATATCTAGGGAATACCCCGAGATAAAAATGTTCTGTCTCTCAGAGTCTCTGAAAGCGAGACTCGAGTCTCCGTCCCTCATCGAATCTCTCTGCTGTCGCTGAGAGAGACTGTCAAAAAAACTGTTTAGTGTCTCTGAACGAGAGACTCGAGTCGCTCATAGAAAGATCCTCATTTCGTATCCAGCCTGTGAACGAGAGACTCGAATCTCTGAACGAGATACTCGAATCTCTCAATAAGTTGTGTCTCGATAGACATGGTTAAAATTTTCTAAGTTCAACATATTTCAGAGATCCCAATCTTTTTACGAGAGACTCGAGTCTCTCAGTTTTTCAGTTTTATTCATTCGGTCTCTCTGTGAGAGACTCGAATCTCTGAATTAACAATTTTATCGTTCGAGTCTCTCATGTGTGAGATCCGTAAAAACACCTAGGCAGTAACTGAAAGACTGTGAAAGACTGTGAGAGACGCTCTCAGAGACGCTGAAAGACTCTGAGAGACTGGAGAGAGACTCTGAGAGACTGGAGAGAGACTGAAAATTTTTATCTAGGGACAGTGGCTGCGGCATTATTAGTGTGTTGTATTTGGCCAAAAATTCGCGCACAAGCAACGATGTGTGAGTAGGTTCGTTATCATGGTGCAAAAGCCAAATTTTGTTCTTCCACAAATCCGAGCGTTTCTGGCGAATTTCTTCGCGCAAATTGCGCTTAACTGGTAGGTAATATTCCTTATTGACCGTTCTACCCTCTGACAAGAACTCATGATGCACCACGCCCCTGTAATTGAAGAAAATTATAAGCCAAATCTTCACATTCGACCTAATTTGGCGCGCCTTTTTCGGTCTTGGCTCGTGCGGTAGCTTGCATTGGGATGATTGAGCTTTGGTTTCCAGGTCATAACTATAAACCCATGATTCCTCACTAGTTATGACCCTCTGGAGCCAATTTGGGTTGTCGCAGACAGAGTCCAACAGCTCCTTAGCATTTTGTACCACCGAGAAACGTTGCCTTTGGTCCAAGGTAGCTTCACCATATGCCACAGTCGACATTCGGAATACGTCCGCGCACTTAATTTTGTTTTTTTTGGAATTGGCAAGAATCGAAGACGAGCGAAAGCACGTGCAAGCAAAGCAGCTGTCAAAAATTAACTGAGCATTCAACTTGTAGGTATAAGTGAGAGACATGAGTACTTACCAAGCATAACGCTACAAAAAAATCGAAAATCGAGTATACGTAAGCCGCGAAAATTCAAAATTCGCGATACTTTTTGATCAGACCTCGTATGTATTAATTGAAATAAAAAAACTGAATATTTTGAAAAGTGTCACGTGCTTTTAAATGATCCATGTCGAGGCTCCAAAAATTAGATTCCTTTAAGAAATAGGGGATTCGGGATATACCATATTCCGTCAAAGTAGCCGTATACAAGGGAAATTGAGGAACGGGAATCATGACACCTGGGTTTTTACAATCAACTCCGGCTTTGAATAGTTTTAAGATGGTTTTAAAACCCTCAGCAACACCTCAAAAAACAATGGCGGTAAAGATAACATTTCTCTTCATCGATAGAGAAAACGTAAGGAATGATATTACGATGCAGTTGAAATTGAAAATAAAAAAAATAAACGATATTCCCAGTTTTTTTTCTGGAAAATGCATTTGAAATACTAAATGCAACAATAATATACCAAGAACTGTTATTTTACGTGTGTAGTTGCAGTAGACTAGGTTTTCAAAAAAAAAAAAGACAAAACCTACAATAACTAATTTTTATTAATCAAAATTTAATGAATTTCCATAGTCCTCCTGGTAAATTTATAGATATTACATTAATTGATCGAAAAAACATCTCACAACGCGTTACGGTCACTCTAATACATCCACATCGCGAAATTGGTGGGTGTTATAATAGCTCTTCTGAAAACGCTCACGACGCGTTGTGGTAATCAGAGATAGGCCAATTAAAATAATTGCCAGACGTGGATCGCGCTTTCGATCTTTTTGGATCTCATCAGCGCGTCGCAGGCAGCTCCGACAGAACACAGACCAACTTTTACCTGCTGCCTTAACAGCGCGTTTTAGAAAATACGACAAATGACGCTGTAAACGCCATCTGTAGCACAGTGCTACATTTTAGGATTACGTATGCTTCAGCAGGTAACAGTTGGTCTGTGTTCTGTCGGGCTGCCTGCGACGCGCTGATGAGATCCAAAAAGATCGAAATCGCGATCCGCGTCTGGCAGTTTCGACAGAATGCGGACCACTTCGAATTATTTTATTCGATTATGGTAACGTGCCTACCTCACGTTGAGGTGAGCTACGCCGGGATTCGTTTCAGCAAGTAGATATCCTTGCTGAAACATACGTAATCCTAAAATGTAGCACTGTACTACAGATGGCGTTTACAGCGCCATTTGTCGTATTTTCCAGAGATAGGCCACATAGCGAAATTCGTGTTGTGACTATCATGCTATAGGACCACAACGCGTTGTGGCAATAAAGAAAAGTCATGACGTATTCTGAGCACCAACTGATGTAACCATATTACGACGTTCAGCTTGTCCCAATAAATAATAAATGTCCTTTTACTTTATTGGCACAATTTCGTTATACTGTGTTTAATAATGACAAATACGTCATGCAGCTGTTTTCTATTTTAGAAGCAGAAAGGGACTGTAAGATCCATATCTGCGTCGTATTCCAATATGGTTCCATACGCTTCATGGCATATCTTCACTGCCACAACGCGTTGTGGTCGTAAAGCATGATCCTTGCGATACGAATAACTTGCATAAATTAGGTAAGGATTAATGAGATAAGTTAATATCACCTGCACATAAAATAATATTATCTGTATAAGCCCGATGTCCGTCCCTTTTTTCAATGTATTTTGCTACATGCTGTCTTATAACGTCGATTCCTGAAGAAGTCGAATAAGAACCGACCGAACCTCCTGTGCAACTCTGCAATATAATTTTTGCTCTTTCCTTAACATCCGAAGGAATACTGGAACTTTTAAGTAACTCAGTGTATGTACAGGTCGCTAGCAATTGTCTTAAGAATGTTATAGGGATTTGACCCACTGCGTGGCAATCTCCCAGATTCACCCGAATGATTTTATTGAAAGGCTTCTTTTCACCCTGTCAAAGGACATTTTTAATGAATTATGATAAACTTCATGTAGTAGCATTAGTCTACAGGTGGCGTTCACTACGCTGTTTGTAGTAATTCATAAAACGTTGTACAAGGTGGCAGAAAAATATGAAACTATGATGTTTGCAATAAACAGCTGAGTGACTTTTGCGATAAAAACAAGAAAGTTTTGTCGAGTAGTACAGCTAAAAATTCTATTAACTTAAACTACACTGTAGATCTTAAAAAATAGGGACTTATTTCATGCCATATCCATAACCCCTGCCTTCTGTAAGTCCCTGGCTTTTAAGTCACATACATTCTAAAAGTTTCTTCTTACTTTTAATAGTTCCTTTTCAATTTCATCTGCGCGTTCGCTAATGGTACCTCTTATGGCATAATCCATGATTCTAACATTCTGATTCATATTATCTACAGTTAATGTTTTCTTCGCTAATAAAAATAAAGAAAAAGTACTAAAGGGGCGGGTACTTTTTAAACAATTTTTCATTCTTCCTGCTGCAACCATACAACTGACATACCATCACCGCCTTCATCATTTAGAGAAAAAAGATAGCGTACAGTTTTATTAATTAAATTAAAACTGTCTAACATTGTTATTAATTACATAAATGAGAGTAGATGTAAAATGTAATACTAACCTTTGACATATTTATGATTGACATATTTGTTAGAATTTTAATTTTCTGTCTATCCATAAATCTGTCAATCGAAACAACATTTGGAAGGATGTAAAGTCTCTAAAATTGGTTCCGTAATACGTATCGCAAATTTTGCTGCCAACATTCTTTTTTGAAAAATATGCCTATGTTACAGTAGGGAAAGGCAACAGGAACGAAGTGATTGAACACTTAAACTACTTCTTATTTATAGCATGCAGTATTTACAATGCTTATGTACTCGTCACTGTATTTATATCACTTTGTTTATTTATTACTGATCAACTGTTCATATCCAAACTAAGTCCGCACCAAAGGCCTATTTATATTATTCTCGAATTTTCTAAAACACTTCATTCTTCTCGAGAATTTCGGAACTCCTTTTGTTAAGCAAGCAAATATGTATCACTCAGAGTATGATTCATTGTCCTCTGCGTCTTTAGTATAACTATCGGTCGGTCGCTGCCTGCAGGCATACTTAAGAGCTGTCGACAAAAAATGTATTGATTATAACGTATATGCTTGTATGTAACATTGCCCTCATCCGGGGCCGATCATTCTTAAGGAGGGGGCAATGTTCGAAGGATCATGTTGGTACCTGCAGCTCTAATCCTTTCGACATGCAGTCGTTAAATGGAAGCAGCAATCCACGGTCTTCGAATAAGAAAAATCTCTACATGGGAACGAACATCCGACATGCTTCGTATCACCTTTCAATTCAACCCATCCAATCCACATCTTTGGCATGACTAAGCTTAAGAGTATTAACGGTTAGCTCCTAGTCCCTTAATTCCATCAGAAAATTCCAAAACGAATGGTAGGTGAGTTTCCCAGACGATTCTTCTTTGGTGACAAGGTAGTAAACAAATCGGTTCCCATTCGGCAATTCGCATGTTCATTTATATTATTGATCAGCTGTCGATATCCACACTAACTCTGACTGTCATCCAAAACCTTTTTATAATTCTTCTCGAGAATTTCGGAACTCCTATTGTTAAGCGGGCAAATATGTGTCACTCAGAGTATTTATTATCTTCCGCATCTTTGGTACAACGATTGTCGACCATCGATCGGTCGCTGCCTGCGGGCATACTCAAGAGCCGCCGGAAAACAATCTATTGATTATCACTTTCATGCTTTACATAACAATACTATTCCACTAAATTTGTAGTCGAAGGTATGTACTTATATGAATAGAAGATGCAGTCGTCACTTCATTCGCATTTTCTCAGTGTAATTCTTTATTTTTTTGAAATTAAGTGCCACATTAAACGAAACAACTAAAATATTTTTCGAATGTTTACTTCAAAACATTGCATACAGGTACATCGGTACATAAAAAGAAAATAAAAGTTTTGATAATATAATTAAAATTTGGTGTCTAAAAGTATTGCTATTTACATAAAATTTACTATTAAAATTATTGTTAATACAAAAAATATACATAACAGCTTACTACCGATTTGAATCACAGATGTAGGAGTGTAATAATTCAAATAAGTCAATACTTATGTATTAAATTTGCTATCAATTTTTATATTTATTAATAAACTTCTGGTGGAATGCCTGGAATTTTTCTAACATTTCTTTAAGTTTTTCCGGTTGGGGCAAAATCGTCGTCCTAAAATGGAATGTACCTTCTCTTTGACCGAATCCAGATCCTGGTACTATGCATATCCCCGTGTTTTCCAACAGTTCGAACGCATAGAATACATCAGGTGACTGATCGGCTTTTGCCGCAGCTCTGATTGCTCCGGGCGGCAATTTAACTTGAGGAAACGCGTACATCGCTCCTTGAACAGGATTACAAGAATATCCTTCGAAAGTGTTAAACGTTTTGACAACCATTTCCGCCCTTAGCTGCAAAAATGGACAATAATACTTATGAAATCAAAATAATATCATTATACTTATATGTTACCGGAAATGTGTGAAATCCGTCATTGTATACAATTCCTAGGAAATGTATATATTTCCTAAAATCGTCCGGAAATGTGTGAAATAAATTATATCAAACACTTTTCCTAGGAAATCATATATTTCCTAAATAGCAATAGGAAATACTTAATAGGCAATAACACGGTAGGCTGTTTGGAGATGTTTGTACCTTCTCCATTGGTGACGTCATTGTTTAGTTAGGGAGATTTATGGACAGACTGGAGTTTCTCCAAAATAATGTGACGAGGTTAGTTTTGTTTCAGCCAACACGATGACCTTGAATTTTTAGTGTTTTAGAGGTGATAATGCTGATCATTTTCGTATGTATATGTTGGGCGCGGAGATCATAATGAAGCATACTTTTCGAAGAGATTATTCCAACATATCAGCTTGCTTCCGGCGGGGGCATTAAAGAAACTCCAGTTTGTCATAAATCTACCTAATAACCACACAATAACGTCACTAATACATATACATCTCCAACCCTAACCTAACCAAGCAATAACGTCACCAATGCATGCACTAGAACCGCGTAAACACAGTTTACTAACGTGTTTTATTCATTTCATTCACAAAAAGCATTATTTTTAAACATTTCCTAGTATAATATCGGAATTTCATACAATTCCTAGGAAATATCCACATTTCCCAAGACACGTGTGTATTATAAAATCTTTGAAACAATATTTATAGATTTTCTAAAAATCCTCGGAATTGTATACATTTCCTAGGAATTGTATACAATTCCTAGATTTCATACATTTCCGGTAACATATACATTTAATGTGCTAATAAGTATGTTTTTAATGGAAATAATAGTATAGTGCGACGCTTTGAAATTAACTGACTATTAATACGTCTAATTGTCGTTTGATTGAAATTTTTTTTCAATAAAGAAAAGCAATAACACTGATTTAGACGTTGACTTAATTAGGTAACAATCTGCCCACCCAGCTTAAGGCATGATAATTTTAGGTAGAAAATGTTGGCTGTTTTTACATGATTCTCTGATTAGCATCTTTGCAACAAGGTGCTATTAAGGTGCATTAAGTGGTACTTGTCCATTCAAATTTGGACTAATACGCAGGGGCGGCCTTAGCCATCAGGATGCTCCGGGCGGGTAAATGTTTGCGAGGCCCTTGTCCTTGTCGAATTAGTTTTACTGATAATACTTGAAGAGAAATGCAAAGTTATTCGTAAGTAAGTTTAGAGTTTTAAAATTGGAAATTAAAAAAAAGTAATAAACACAAAACTGGCAAATTTGCGGATTTTTTTAAGACTATTATGAAATTCAAATAGGTACTATCTAATATTGTTGCGCGAGTGCGCGAGGTCCCTGCAAGAGCGAGGCCCCGGGCGGTTGCCCTGCTCGCCACCCCCAAAGGCCGCCCTTGCTAATACGATATTAAAGATTCCTTTACCTTTAGAGAGTCCAATACAGCACTTTTTTCTTTCATATACAGTTCGTAACTGGGTTCGTCTTCTCGAGGTGGATTTACAACAGCATCCATGACAATTTGACCTAGGACGGTAGGGCACAACATTGCACTTATTGCTTTTAAATACATCGCTTTTACCATAGGGTTCATATTCACGACCTCGACATACCCTCCTCTCAAACCGCACTCTCCCATATATCCTTTTGAAGAAGACATGAAACTAGCTAGTTCCATTTTATTATACGGCTCACCCATTTCCATCATTACCTATGGTATAATTTCAATTATTGTTCTTGTCTTAACGCATATTAAACTTCGTTGAACTACCTTTTTAAATGAAAAGAATGCAGACCCTTTTGCGTATACATTGTGCTGATAGACTTCGTCAGCTAACATAAACAACTGTTCATTGTACGCAAATTTAATGATATCTTCAATGTTTTGTCTGGTAAGGACTTGTCCTGTAGGATTGCCAGGATTAATAACTACAATGGCTCGTGGGTGACACTTCTTTCTCGCATCGTCTACTGCTCTCTAAAATGTTAAAAGTTAATGCAATTGTATAAAGCTCATATTCCCTCGCAGGTACGAATCTCCCACATACAGGGTGTAACAGAATTAAGTTGCGACCTTTGGAAGGTGTAAATTTTAAGAAAATCACTATCATTTATAATCTAAATAAAGCCGGTCCTGTGCGTGACTTAGTAACATAAGTGTCTACCGAATACCGTAGTACGGTAAAAACCGTTAGTACATGGATGGAGAATGTAATCATTACTGATAATTGAACATGTAAGATAAACATAAACAATTTAGTGCAACATAAAATGTTCAGACTAATTGTAGATAAATAAATTAAATATGTACATTACAGGAAGCACTATGTAAATGTACGAAAACGTAATAAAGAAAAAATGTAAATTACGTAAATATTGATTGGTAAAATCACCGATACAAATCCAGTAGCGGCCGAAAATCGGTTTCAAGCGCTCGCTGCAAATGCTAAGGATGCATCAACTGTTCCTTCAAAATTTGACACACTATCACATGATAGGAGACAACGTTCCCTGCTATTTCGCGTGTACTATTTCGGGGGTTGTCTTCTTTAAAACTGAAGTCATCATATCATGTCACATTTGCACCGTTACGGACTATATTTCTTTACCGGGGCCGGAATTGAACAGTGAAATTTCGTACTCTACCACCGCCCGCAAGCTCGGCACTTATTTATGTTACACCCTGTATCACTAACGATATTCTTTTTATAGTGTCTTTAAATTTAATTATTTTTCAAAATTACTCAAGTATTAAGATTACTGCCAAATTATATAATATTTTGAAGAACTTTCTAGCATTATCGAAATTGTAAATACTAATTGAAAGAAAATATTAGACTTCATACTTGAAGTTCATTAATATCCAAGCCCCAATTTTTCGATTCGTCTAAATAGTAACCAATTTGACGAATCCCAAATTCGGCCAGTGTCGCCGAATAGAGGGGATACTGGGGTATCGGTATCATAACACCGGGTTCTTTGCAGTCGATATGACATATTAGCAGTTTTATAACATTTTTTATTGCGTCACTGGCTCCTACAATTAAAACATAATTTTACCTTCCGCACAATAAGAACTTACCTGCTGGATAAAATAAGTATCAGAATAAAATCGTATTCGCAAAAAATAGAAGAAAATCAAATGAAGTTCAATGCACTTAAGTAAATAAAACACTAATACCAAAAATTCCTCATAAAAACGTTTAAAAAATCTATAACGTATTTCGACACACAATGTGCCATACTTAATTCTCTCAATTTTAGGATTTTTTAATTTCCAATCATCATAAGGTCGTCAGTCCTAAGACTGGTTGGACACGTACCTCCACTCTTTCCTATCCTGAGCTAAACTTCGCGTTTACCTAAAACTAGAACATCCCACATCCTTAACTATCTGCGAACAGTAATCTAACCTAGGTCTACCTCTACCCCACCTGACTCCTGTTTCTGTCTCTAATATGTCTCTGACTAGACCTTCATGCTTGAGAAGGTGTCCTACTAACCTATCTCGCCTATTTTTTATTGACTTCCATAGAGTCCTTCGTTCTCCTATTCTTTCTAATACCTCTTCATTTCTAGCCTTTTCTACCCACGTTATCCTCATCATTCGCCTATAACACTACAATTCGAAAGCTTCTAACCTTTTCTTTTCCGCCGCGCTCACTGTCCATGTTTCGCACCCGTACCACGCCCTGCTCCAAACGTACACCATTAACAATCTTTTCCGAATTTCTAAATTAACCGTTCGCGAGCATAATAGAAGTGACTTCTTTTTATTAAAGGCGACACGACCCTGTGCTATCCTCTGCTTTATATCCCTACTACTCCTTCCGTCCTGACTTATCTGACTTCCTAGGTATCTAAAATCAGCCACTTCTTCTAATTTTTCGACTCCTATCTTTATATTCGCTCTTTCCCTACTTTTTCTTCCCTTGCATACGATTTTAGAATTTGTTTAATATTGATTAATTTCCAATAATCAATATTAAACAAATTCTAAAATCGTTACCTAACGGAAACTTTCAGCTACCTACCCAGCAATACCAACTACGTAAATTTTGAACCGTCGCTATAGCATTTCTGAAAATTTTATCATATTTAGGTCAACCGAAGAGATAAGTACCTATTTTTTGTACCTGTTTGATCAATAAATAATTAATCGTAAGCTTTATATATAGCATTAATATTTACTTTATATAATTTAACTTCAAATAATACAACACATTATTTATCTAAATGTAACATTGAAGTAATTCATTTATCTATAAGACACTTAATTATCTATTCGTTATTGTATTAATACTGCCAGTAATGTCGCTAATTAATTTTCATATAAAAAACTTTTTGATAAGTAAATGTAGTTACGAAAACAAAAACATTTCTCAAAAGTAAAATATATAAAATAAAAAATATACCTATTAAGAGAACTTAAAATGAAAGTAATGAATATTTTCGCAAAATTAGCACTGCATCGTGATTTTTATGTGTACGACTAGGAAATTGCCTTGAAGTTATTTTTATTAAATAAGGCATTTCTAAGCCACGTTACATAAACCAGTTTATAGGTAAATTCTACCTGTATATCTACTCTTACTTAACACGTAATTCGAAACCAACTATGATAATTCTTACAGTAAACAACATATAACATAACTTCACGACAAATTTTTTTAAAAAAATAATTACCCTGTTACTTTGTTACGAAATTTTTTTAAAATTGTATGCATAATTTTCGCACTTNAACATTATTTATATATATAATCTCATACAAAATTTGTATATTTAATAGTTAATTTTCATCTCCCCTTCCAAGTTCATTTTGCTAAAAAATACTAAGATATACCTATAATATCTGATTTTTAGAACTTATTATGTCGAAATCTCCTTTAGGTATTTGTGTTCAAACAGACGCAAAAAAAATTATTGTTAGAAATCAACATTACCCACATCGATCGAAATTTCATTTTATTCTATACTGGTCAGACCCATCTAAATTGATCTTTTTAAAACATGAACCATCGGATACATAAAAACATTATTTGTGTTTGGAAAATTCACGTAGAAACAAGTGAATGGTTTTCAATTTAAAAAGAACTTATTCTTTTATTTTACTCATAAAAATTTTAAATAATGATACCGATTAACTTGCACACTTCCGGGTTCTCCGAAATTTTAGTATTTTGTAAAGTTCAGCATGCTGAACAAAAATATGTTATAGGTATTTGCATATGCATATGTTCGGCGTGCAAAGTATTTAAATCACAGTTTTGGAACTTCGAATAAAGAAACTAAATTTCTTATTCTCATAAAGGAATTATATTTAGGTGATATGGAGAATATTTTTAGATCATTTTTAATAGACTTGGGAAATGCATCAATGTTTATGATGGTCATAAAATGACCATATGGCAATCTGACAGCTATATTTGTTTAAATTACGAACCGGAATATTTTGCTTGAACGACCTGAAGCTATTTCTAGAATTAACTGGAAATTTTTAATTGTGAAATTCTGTCGGAAAAACAAATCGTTATTTTCCACAGTTTACTTTATTTAGCGGTTAGTATTAAAAGTAGTCTTTTTTTTGACGTGCTGCAGCAGGACGTGTTCATTGTTTTTTCATGGTACTATATATACATGTACACAATGGTCAAAAAGTGTATAGGAAATTTTACATTTCATTACTTAAGCTTCTTAGTTATTTCAGATGGATACGTTGTTAATAGAATAGAATAGATCATTAAAAATATTAACAAAATATATTTTATAACTAACCAATTAAGGCGCTTTTTTTATTATTGAGCAGATCATACGTCACAGTCAATTTGGTTTATTAAAGCGAATTATACATGGTGTTTCTTAAATAAATAGCAAGCTTACATGAGGTGATAAGGCACTATAAAACAAGACAATTAAGTAAATGTTTAGTGGTTCGAAAGTCTACCGTTTTCGATAAAAACGTGTTTAAAAGTGTAGTCGAGGGCTAGTCCGGCTCAGGTATCACTCGAGAAAATACGACAATTTAAATCGTACTGCGTACTATCGGCGATGAACAAAGTAGTTATTTAATTAATTGTTATCGCAATGAGCGTCTAAACAAAGATTATTATGTGTAGTAACTGTTGATAATTATTTATTAGTCGTTCCGCAACCGTCACTGTTTACATTTTTCGTCGATGTAGTTGGTTAATTGTTATCGCAATTTCTCTATCGTTACCAATTCACGCTCAGGACCGGCTTCGGATTGTAACTTCGTCTAATTTTCTTACAATTCTTTTTGCGATTCCCTATTGAATTCAGTTGACACCCTTCAAACTTGCTACTTATTTCATAAACTAACCAATTGAGGCGCTTTTTTATTATTGAGCAGATTACCCAACTGAATCTTACGTCACAGTCAATCTGATTTATTAAAGCGAATTATACATGGTGTTTCTTAAATAAATAGCAAGCTTACATGAGGTGATAAGGCACTATAAAACAAGACAATTAAGTAAATGTTTAGTGGTTCGAAAGTCTACCGTTTTCGATAAAAACGTGTTTAAAAGTGTAGTCGAGGGCTAGTCCGGCTCAGGTATCACTCGAGAAAATACGACAATTTAAATCGTACTGCGTACTATCGGCGATGAACAAAGTAGTTATTTAATTAATTGTTATCGCAATGAGCGTCTAAACAAAGATTATTATGTGTAGTAACTGTTGATAATTATTTATTAGTCGTTCCGCANTTGATTGGAAATTTAAGTTGAATACGTGGCGTGAATCCAAAATAAAGTTATTAGAGTAGATTGTATAAGATATGACGCGTTTCTTTGACACATTACCGACAATATTTTAAACGTGTCTCACGCTGTCACGGATGTTCTCCGCCCCCGGCGAGTTACACCCCGCGTCGTGTAAGCGAGACTTTAGAACGACTACCATGCGAGAAAATTGAAACGTGCTAAAATGAAAGCGTTTTACTTCTGTAACAAAATAGAAATTACTTTCTGTCTTATAACATAAAATTAACTACGTATATTATTAATAACAAATTTAGTCGGACAAACCTGAAGGCACACTTTTTCAGTTTAAAGTATTAAAGTGTATTACCTACTGACGACCTTTAATGAAAAACATGTTTAGAATATTAAAAAGAGATCCAGAAAAAGTTCTTCTTCATTTATAATTAAATTAAAGGTTCAAGGTTCACACTTTAATTAAAATTTACAACTTCAATATTGCATAATTGCTATAAATCCATGGCAGCGACGAAATTGAGAAAAAGTGTCTTTCTCTGACCTTTTACTTACAAATACCATTACGAAAATATTTTATACAACGGTAGGTAGGTATTTTTGAAGGAAAATTACAATTCAATCAATACATATCTATGTACCTTAAAACATTCAGCCAAGAATGTAACTGTTAATGGATAAAATACGATTCGAAATTCTGTTTTCTCACAATGAATTCAAGAAGAAACAGAAGAAGAAAGCATAGATGAAAAATAACTTAAGTTAATTAAAATAAGGAAATTTCAGAAATGTTTGTTTTTAGGCTTTAAAATGTTATTGGAATTGAAAGTTCGTATTAGCGAAGGGAATTCCATATTGAACAAAAATAGAACGTTTCAGCGTAGCTATGCGGGCGATTCATCCACCTAATCTCAATTTATTTAACTTTCCTCATTTCTTTCTTGCTGATTCTTGCTTGTTTTCCGAGAGCAGTAAAATTTCACTTTTTGTTTATCTTTCTACCTGAAAACTTTCTACTCGTTGTTTACTTTGCTTTTCTTGCAAAAATTTGCATACATCAGGGCTTTTCCTTCTTTTTCTCGAAACTGTTTGAACGACAACGTTTTAATAAAACCAATTTATTTGTTCATATAAAATGTGAATAAAATTGTCCTTTTATAATTAACTACTATTAAATGAGAAACCTTATTTACTCTTTTATCCTTTGAAGGCATTGCGTGTAGTGACAAAATAATGTTATACGGAATACGTAAGCATTTTTTCAATTCATATTCAATAATAAACTTGTAAAATAGAATAGCGAATTTCAAAATTACAAAGTAAGTAAAGTTCAGCTTTAAATGAATTTATAAATAAAAAAAGCCATTGAATATACTGGAAATCGAATCCGGAATGGCAGGCGAGTAATTATTTTACTCAAAATATCCTTGTACCTTTATTTGATAATACATGTATTTTTTTACCGATCGTCCCGCACTCTTTTTTAATAAACGTCTTGTTATATGTGAATCTGCTTGTTTGTTTTTCGCCTTTTCATGACTTAACTACTCAACCGATCATCAAGAAATGAAAGGACATAGGGCACCTTTTATCCAGAAAAAAATACTTGTGTCCGAGGGATATAAAAAATTAGTTATATGTAGTCATCTTTGACATGCATTGAACAAATCAACGCGAACAAGACCGCTGGTAAAACCTGTTATTATTTAGGTATTTAGTCTGATAAAGCTGATAATCTGATTGACGGATGAATTTTTTATCTTTAAAAACCAAATCAGCTACAGTTTTTGCGTTACCAAAAAATAAATAAAATATTTTTTATTCTGACATTAAATAAATCATTTAGTTCTATTGTTCATTGCTATTACTTGTGTCCTTTAATTTTGAATCGATTAAGTACAATCCCAAAAATTGAAAATTGTGTTCACTCCAAAAAGTCTAACTCTTAACCGAACTCCACAAGTGTTTCGCCAGTCCTAGTTTTAATAACGTAATTGTGAATGGGAAAATCATTTAACAAGTTCGAAAAAAAAAATAATTCGAAAAGCATTGGCTTCGAATGTTTGAATGATTATTTTTGAAATAAAAATGGGAAATTAATTTATCACATTGTAAATGTCTTTCTTTACGGTTTGTTTTCTAAAGTCAACCGTAATGTCGGGAACACCCTGTATAATAAAATTTGTATAAGGATACAATTTTCCGATGAATATGGAAGGCGAACGATAAAATTAGAAGGAACCTTGAGTTTTTAATATCCACAAGTCACAATAATAGAGAGTACGTCTAGATATGCTTGCGTATGTAGTAAAATAATCTGGCATAGTTCCAAAATTGGCATCAGCAAAATAATCCAGCCGAAATTAGCATTTTACACAAATTTCCTCGATTCTTATTAATCAGAAACACAAATACAGTACGGAACCAAACTCTGGTAATGAAATTTCATCCAAATTTAATGCAAGAAAATTACGTAACAGTTTTTGTATTATACAGGGTAGGTTCCACATTCTTGGCCCAAGTCAAGAACTTTGCGATTTTTCTCTCGATGAACATATAGTTTCTAAATTAATTACGTAAAAAAACAAATTTCATTTCCTGGCCGAAGGGTGGTGAATATAGCGTGTGCTGGGGAGGAAATACATATTTGGTATGAGCCTCTGAGAGCTGAGTTATGTGACATTATATTATAATTACTTGACTTCCTTCTTGTCATTTTACATGGTCATTTTTACGAAACTGAAAGCATCATGGGTTATGTGGAACGCGAAAACTTAATAGGTCACTGTTTACATTTTTCGTCGATGTAGTTGGTTAATTGTTATCGCAATTTCTCTATCGTTACCAATTCACGCTCAGGACCGGCTTCGGATTGTAACTTCGTCTAATTTTCTTACAATTCTTTTTGCGATTCCCTATTGAATTCAGTTGACACCCTTCAAACTTGCTACTTATTTCATAAACTAACCAATTGAGGCGCTTTTTTATTATTGAGCAGATTACCCAACTGAATCTTACGTCACAGTCAATCTGATTTATTAAAGCGAATTATACATGGTGTTTCTTAAATAAATAGCAAGCTTACATGAGGTGATAAGGCACTATAAAACAAGACAATTAAGTAAATGTTTAGTGGTTCGAAAGTCTACCGTTTTCGATAAAAACGTGTTTAAAAGTGTAGTCGAGGGCTAGTCCGGCTCAGGTATCACTCGAGAAAATACGACAATTTAAATCGTACGACACACTATCGGCGATGAACAACGTAGTTATTTAATTAATTGTTATCGCAATGAGCGTCTAAACAAAGATTATTATGTGTAGTAACTGTTGATAATTATTTATTAGTCGTTCCGCAACCGTCACTGTTTACATTTTTCGTCGATGTAGTTGGTTAATTGTTATCGCAATTTCTCTATCGTTACCAATTCACGCTCAGGACCGGCTTCGGATTGTAACTTCGTCTAATTTTCTTACAATTCTTTTTGCGATTCCCTATTGAATTCAGTTGACACCCTTCAAACTTGCTACTTATTTCATAAACTAACCAATTGAGGCGCTTTTTTATTATTGAGCAGATTACCCAACTGAATCTTACGTCACAGTCAATCTGATTTATTAAAGCGAATTATACATGGTGTTTCTTAAATAAATAGCAAGCTTACATGAGGTGATAAGGCACTATAAAACAAGACAATTAAGTAAATGTTTAGTGGTTCGAAAGTCTACCGTTTTCGATAAAAACGTGTTTAAAAGTGTAGTCGAGGGCTAGTCCGGCTCAGGTATCACTCGAGAAAATACGACAATTTAAATCGTACTGCGTACTATCGGCGATGAACAAAGTAGTTATTTAATTAATTGTTATCGCAATGAGCGTCTAAACAAAGATTATTATGTGTAGTAACTGTTGATAATTATTTATTAGTCGTTCCGCAACCGTCACTGTTTACATTTTTCGTCGATGTAGTTGGTTAATTGTTATCGCAATTTCTCTATCGTTACCAATTCACGCTCAGGACCGGCTTCGGATTGTAACTTCGTCTAATTTTCTTACAATTCTTTTTGCGATTCCCTATTGAATTCAGTTGACACCCTTCAAACTTGCTACTTATTTCATAAACTAACCAATTGAGGCGCTTTTTTATTATTGAGCAGATTACCCAACTGAATCTTACGTCACAGTCAATCTGATTTATTAAAGCGAATTATACATGGTGTTTCTTAAATAAATAGCAAGCTTACATGAGGTGATAAGGCACTATAAAACAAGACAATTAAGTAAATGTTTAGTGGTTCGAAAGTCTACCGTTTTCGATAAAAACGTGTTTAAAAGTGTAGTCGAGGGCTAGTCCGGCTCAGGTATCACTCGAGAAAATACGACAATTTAAATCGTACTGCGTACTATCGGCGATGAACAAAGTAGTTATTTAATTAATTGTTATCGCAATGAGCGTCTAAACAAAGATTATTATGTGTAGTAACTGTTGATAATTATTTATTAGTCGTTCCGCAACCGTCACTGTTTACATTTTTCGTCGATGTAGTTGGTTAATTGTTATCGCAATTTCTCTATCGTTACCAATTCACGCTCAGGACCGGCTTCGGATTGTAACTTCGTCTAATTTTCTTACAATTCTTTTTGCGATTCCCTATTGAATTCAGTTGACACCCTTCAAACTTGCTACTTATTTCATAAACTAACCAATTGAGGCGCTTTTTTATTATTGAGCAGATTACCCAACTGAATCTTACGTCACAGTCAATCTGATTTATTAAAGCGAATTATACATGGTGTTTCTTAAATAAATAGCAAGCTTACATGAGGTGATAAGGCACTATAAAACAAGACAATTAAGTAAATGTTTAGTGGNACATATACGTGCACACACTGCGTAAAAACGTATGGTATTTAGCGTACTTCATTTGCAGCGGTCATACACGGTCGTGCAAATCACTAGCATTTAATATACGCCCGCTGTTTCATACAACCCTACAAAAAAAGTCAAACGGATTTAGCTCAAGACTGCGTGCCGTCTATGATATGTCCAGTCCAGTGTCTAGGATAATATTCCTCTAGAAACTCACGCATAATGCTATAATACTATTCTATACTTATTTATGACACTCAGACACTGGCATTCTTCTAATGATTTCGACTGTATGCATGCGTACGTAATACAAAACTGCAACATTAAAAGATGAAGAACTAACTACTCCAGGTTGCAACGTCGTATTTCTTTGCGCCCTACCAGGCCCGGACTGATCCCTTCAAGTACGTTTTTCTCGAAAACGGTGAACTTTCAGACCACAAAACGTCCACTTAATTTTCTTGTTTTATAGTGCCCTATCACCTCATGCAAACTTGCTACTTATTTCATAAACACCCCTGTATACCATTAATTATTATTATTAATTATATAAACCAGATCTGTCGGATGTCTTTTCCAAACTTTACAAGGGCCTATACAATGTGATTTATTTTATACGTATAAGAACGGAAATGCATACGTACCCGATCCTAAGACAATATCTTCCCAGTTACTGGGATGTCCATCTCTCCTTTGGATATATTCGGCGACGTGCCTCCTGATTACTTCAATTCCAGGCGAATCCGTGTAAGAACCGACAGAGCCACCTTTGCATCCTTCTAAAACAGTTCGCACACGCTGTTTCACATCTTCGGGAAATCGGGAATCGTGTAATAATTCGGGATAAGCCACTAGAGCAAGCATTTGTCTTATAAATGTAATGGGCTTCTGTCCCATAGCATGACAGTCGCCTATATTCGCTCTTATTACTTCTTTGAAAGGCTTCTTTACACCCTGTAGCAATAAAAACATTATTTACTAATTTGATATAAAGACTATCCTATGAGAAAAATGAAGCAGTGCTATCCTAAATATAATATTCTAAATGCCAATTTGAGATTGTTTGTTTATTACCATTTCACGGCTTAACTACTAAACCGATCATCATCAAATCTTTTGCACACATTGTCAGGGCTACAGAAAAGGACATAGGGCACCTTTTATCCAGAAAAAAATACTTGTGTCCGAGGGATATAAAAAATTAGTTATATGTATACCTATAATATCTGATTTTTAGAACTTATTATGTCGAAATCTCCTTTAGGTATTTGTGTTCAAACAGACGCAAAAAAAATTATTGTTAGAAATCAACATTACCCACATCGATCGAAATTTCATTTTATTCTATACTGGTCAGACCCATCTAAATTGATCTTTTTAAAACATGAACCATCGGATACATAAAAACATTATTTGTGTTTGGAAAATTCACGTAGAAACAAGTGAATGGTTTTCAATTTAAAAAGAACTTATTCTTTTATTTTACTCATAAAAATTTTAAATAATGATACCGATTAACTTGCACACTTCCGGGTTCTCCGAAATTTTAGTATTTTGTAAAGTTCAGCATGCTGAACAAAAATATGTTATAGGTATTTGCATATGCATATGTTCGGCGTGCAAAGTATTTAAATCACAGTTTTGGAACTTCGAATAAAGAAACTAAATTTCTTATTCTCATAAAGGAATTATATTTAGGTGATATGGAGAATATTTTTAGATCATTTTTAATAGACTTGGGAAATGCATCAATGTTTATGATGGTCATAAAATGACCATATGGCAATCTGACAGCTATATTTGTTTAAATTACGAACCGGAATATTTTGCTTGAACGACCTGAAGCTATTTCTAGAATTAACTGGAAATTTTTAATTGTGAAATTCTGTCGGAAAAACAAATCGTTATTTTCCACAGTTTACTTTATTTAGCGGTTAGTATTAAAAGTAGTCTTTTTTTTGACGTGCTGCAGCAGGACGTGTTCATTGTTTTTTCATGGTACTATATATACATGTACACAATGGTCAAAAAGTGTATAGGAAATTTTACATTTCATTACTTAAGCTTCTTAGTTATTTCAGATGGATACGTTGTTAATAGAATAGAATAGATCATTAAAAATATTAACAAAATATATTTTATAACTAACCAATTAAGGCGCTTTTTTTATTATTGAGCAGATCATACGTCACAGTCAATTTGGTTTATTAAAGCGAATTATACATGGTGTTTCTTAAATAAATAGCAAGCTTACATGAGGTGATAAGGCACTATAAAACAAGACNCGGAATACGTAAGCATTTTTTCAATTCATATTCAATAATAAACTTGTAAAATAGAATAGCGAATTTCAAAATTACAAAGTAAGTAAAGTTCAGCTTTAAATGAATTTATAAATAAAAAAAGCCATTGAATATACTGGAAATCGAATCCGGAATGGCAGGCGAGTAATTATTTTACTCAAAATATCCTTGTACCTTTATTTGATAATACATGTATTTTTTTACCGATCGTCCCGCACTCTTTTTTAATAAACGTCTTGTTATATGTGAATCTGCTTGTTTGTTTTTCGCCTTTTCATGACTTAACTACTCAACCGATCATCAAGAAATGAAAGGACATAGGGCACCTTTTATCCAGAAAAAAATACTTGTGTCCGAGGGATATAAAAAATTAGTTATATGTAGTCATCTTTGACATGCATTGAACAAATCAACGCGAACAAGACCGCTGGTAAAACCTGTTATTATTTAGGTATTTAGTCTGATAAAGCTGATAATCTGATTGACGGATGAATTTTTTATCTTTAAAAACCAAATCAGCTACAGTTTTTGCGTTACCAAAAAATAAATAAAATATTTTTTATTCTGACATTAAATAAATCATTTAGTTCTATTGTTCATTGCTATTACTTGTGTCCTTTAATTTTGAATCGATTAAGTACAATCCCAAAAATTGAAAATTGTGTTCACTCCAAAAAGTCTAACTCTTAACCGAACTCCACAAGTGTTTCGCCAGTCCTAGTTTTAATAACGTAATTGTGAATGGGAAAATCATTTAACAAGTTCGAAAAAAAAAATAATTCGAAAAGCATTGGCTTCGAATGTTTGAATGATTATTTTTGAAATAAAAATGGGAAATTAATTTATCACATTGTAAATGTCTTTCTTTACGGTTTGTTTTCTAAAGTCAACCGTAATGTCGGGAACACCCTGTATAATAAAATTTGTATAAGGATACAATTTTCCGATGAATATGGAAGGCGAACGATAAAATTAGAAGGAACCTTGAGTTTTTAATATCCACAAGTCACAATAATAGAGAGTACGTCTAGATATGCTTGCGTATGTAGTAAAATAATCTGGCATAGTTCCAAAATTGGCATCAGCAAAATAATCCAGCCGAAATTAGCATTTTACACAAATTTCCTCGATTCTTATTAATCAGAAACACAAATACAGTACGGAACCAAACTCTGGTAATGAAATTTCATCCAAATTTAATGCAAGAAAATTACGTAACAGTTTTTGTATTATACAGGGTAGGTTCCACATTCTTGGCCCAAGTCAAGAACTTTGCGATTTTTCTCTCGATGAACATATAGTTTCTAAATTAATTACGTAAAAAAACAAATTTCATTTCCTGGCCGAAGGGTGGTGAATATAGCGTGTGCTGGGGAGGAAATACATATTTGGTATGAGCCTCTGAGAGCTGAGTTATGTGACATTATATTATAATTACTTGACTTCCTTCTTGTCATTTTACATGGTCATTTTTACGAAACTGAAAGCATCATGGGTTATGTGGAACGCGAAAACTTAATAGTAATTCACCTTTGGCTAGTGTTAAAATAAAAGCTTACTACGTCCCTGTTTAAGTGTATAGGTAATTAAGATTTTTAGTTCTTTGATTTTTATTGTACTTAAATTTTAATTATTTTTCAATAATTGCAGATTACTCCACGAAGAAAAAGACCACAACATTGACAATGTAAGTTTTATTTATTTCATTTATACATACATACATATAGTTGGGACGATTGAAATTAGTAAAATCCGCAATAAATTATCTGTGATAATGGGAGTGTAGTTATTTGCTACGTCTTGAACACGCCCTTGTTAAGTTAGGAAATGCTTCATGAATAGTACAAAGTGAAAAGAGATAACCGAATAATATTAAGCGGTGCAGCGGTTAGAGATTAGAGGTTCCTTAGTTACGCAAAAGATCAGGGTCGGCTTTATAACTGCCTAGTTGGAGTTATATCTTTAAAGAAGCGCCTTTGCTTTCTTAAATTCCTGAATGTTGAACTTTCTTTAAGGATGTTTGGGAGGTATGTCCAAATGCTACGAGACAAATAAAAATTTAGAAGAACGTTCCTCATTCAATTCTAAAACTGCTGTAAAAATTACAAATCGATTCACTAAACCGTTAAAAAGTTATTGAAATTTTAAAAAATTGTAATTTTACACGTCATTTTATGGAGATTCGTTAACCGAACAGATTAAATTTATTTTTATTAACAGAAAAAAAGCTACCAGAAATTTCAAACTTTTATAATAAGTAACTTGAACTCTGGAGAATCACTTTAGCGTAAGGTTATTCAAATTCACTAAATGGTTATCGAGGAAAAAATGAAAAATTATCTGAAAATCTCGTTTTTACTTGATAATATAATGATAATATTTATAATTGTCTGAAATAAATGCAATTTTAAAGTTTTAATTATTATTTAAACATATTAAAAAGTTTTACGCTCATTATTAATAGAGATTGAAACTAAATATTTTTTTGTTTCAAAGTTGAAATCAAGGCATATTCACTGCCAAAAGTCAGTTAAATGTTTTCCGTATTATTCGTTATTTTTTATTTTATTCAAAGTTTTTGGTCAAATTCCAAATTTTCTCTCAAACCATATACCTACTTTTTTTAGTATAGATAGTATTTATTTACCTCATGATATGCTGCAAAACCTAATTAATCACGAATTTATAATTTTAAGTACTCTTGTCTCTGATTGTACCTCCCAAACATCCTTAAAGTCCGATACTGGCAACAATTCTGCTTGTCTGCATCTCTTTCTGTTAGACATCGATCGGTGTAATATTATTCCTTTTTCTTTATTAGTGTCCGCTGCAATTCCTACCTGACATCTCTTTTCTATGTTTACGATGTTCCTTACAACATCTGTCGTAAGTAAAAGTAGGCGTTCTGTCACGCATCGCTCTAGCCTAATTAGTAAGTTGAAAGAAAAAAGTAAATGCGACAGTTTTACTGCGGTCTATACCAATGCTGAACGTCCCAACTATATTTGCCTTAAACATACAAAAAGCTAGAAAACTTGAGTAAAAGGGCAAATAAGTTATTATGCACTTCAATAACACTCAATTCTTTCTTCTCAACATTTCGCTGACTAAACTACTTTATGATCATTTCCGGTCTAATTAAAACAATTATACGAGCGTGTCACACACAATATATTTGCAAATTCCAACTTTTTTAAACATTCAAGGGCAAATTTTTGGCTGGCACACATACAACACGAGTCAAAAATAAAACGGGTTCCTATAGTGCCCTTGTGTTCTACACGTTTACCTCAACATTCTTATGATTAGCTTAACTGCATGGTATGGTAAAGTGAATGAAAAAGGTACAAAAAAAGTTTAATTATCTGATTGTAACGTTGAAATTAGTTACACATGCCTACTGACATTTTTAAATTACAACAGAAATGTAATAAAAGACAAGATTTATGAATGTTGGGATTAAGTTAAACAAAACGTTTTATTTATAAATTTACGTTATCACTATATAGTATAAAACAAAGTCGCTTCCCGCTTTTTTTTAATAGATAGAGTGATTCAAGAGGAAGGTTTATATGTATAATACTTGCATAATATAGTAGAGAAACACTGATAATTTTAGAGGTTTCTAATGTGATGTAAATAAACACATTT